CTTTTAACAATTTTACCACAAACAATTTTTTCTATCCACTTACAAAATCACCAGTTGCCCCTGTAGAACCGATCGATTCCATCCACATCATCACATACATGCCGCAATCATATCTGTTACAAAATTTGAAAACCACACATGTCAATATGATGAATACTGCATAAATTAAGCTTTCTATTTGTGATAACATCTCATACCCATTCAATTGCTTATTCTTCTTATGCTCCACAAATTTGAAATTTTTCAAGGGATACTTTCCTAGAGATCCACATGACTCAACCCAAATGCGTTTCTTATTATAAGAATCTAATATTTTAATCTGCATTAAAATAGAAGAAGTTATGCACCAAAAATTATGCATTATAATTTACATAATGTCATTTCATACATACATACATACCAATCTCTTAGCATCCTTCACTCTCTGTTTAGCTGCTTCAGTTGTAAACATACTATCATATATTGTTACAACATGATCTACCATATCCAACACCAACAGATACCAATGTGAATTATGGTAGTTTATTGTGATCATTATCTGCAACAAATTTCACACCCAATTTGACAAAATTCAACATTCTATATCCGAAAACATCATTTGCAATTGGTATGGTGTCTTACCTTCTCACAGTCGGTCAATTTCACATAGTTATCCAATATGACACCCCAGAAGGTAGAAATACCCTCAACACTTTCTTTGTTGTTGCCTTCCAACGCCTGTTGCTGTAATTACGCAACAAACATTATTAATTTACCGTCTATAACACTACTTTTCAATATTTATTAATTTAACTCACCACTAAGAGGTATGGAAGGTAGCCAATCCTCCGGTGTGACTTTTGAGAATCGTAGCATATGGTCCAGGCGAGCAAATCGATAACCTAACAAAATTAATTACACAATCAGAACATATTCAATAAGTTTTATTTATTTTCTACTTTCTACTTACCACACCGCCAACCCATTCCGTAGGCTTCAACGTTGCAACGTCGTATACAGTAGCGAATTGATTTCCCATTGATATTACAGAATATCTGTATGAATCATTAGGATTAATATCTTGTCATGAAATATTTAAATATCACTCACAAAACAATATATTTCACTTACCCCGATTCTAACTCGCTATTCCATAAATAATCACAAATTGCAGCTTCGATGTCATCAATTCCGGTTGGAATGTCCGCTTTTTCAACCTACAATTTTGCATACAAATTTTTGTCACAACAACATAATAAAAATCAAATTAAGTATTCTTTTATTAAACTTACCTTCTGCTTCTTCTTCTGGGGTGCAGGACATTCCGAATCCAAAACTGCTGCTATAACACTCTCCGGTGTATAAATGACATCGACTTCCTTCCTCCTCATTTCTTCCATCTCTTCTTCTTCCTCCTCCCTCTTTTCTTCTTCATATTTTTTCAGTTCATCGTACTTTTTTTCTACATAGCTCTTCATATCTTTTATTTCACCCTTCAATTGAGCTCCTTCATCCGAGTATTTATCAACCACCCCCTTCACCCCCGTAAGTTCACTCCTCAAATCAACAACCTCCTTCACCACTCCCTCAAATTTTTCTCCCGTCACCATCTTAATATCACCCCTTAACACCGAAACTTCTTTCACCACTTCACCCCTCAACACCTCTACTTCTTTCACCACTCCATCTATTTTTCCTTCCACTACCCCCTTATGCCTCTCGAGTTTCTCTACGACTTGATCAAGTTTCTCTTCGACTCTTGATTGTCTTTGCATGATTTCAAATTGGATTTTTTTGATATCAGCCAATTCAGACATCAAAATGTCGAAGTTACTCTGTTTTGCTTCACCGTCGTCCCACTCACCTTCATCCCCCAATACAACCATCCCTCCTTTCTTCTCCTCTGCCTCCACTGCCTCCTCTACATCCTTGCCAATAACCTTCAAAAAATTAAATTACAATATTAAGACATTGATTATATTCTTAATATTATTTAATTACATTTATTACCATTTCTTGCTTCTTCCCTCTATCCAACTTCAACTTCACCATCACTCTAACCACCTCTTCCTTCCCCCATGCACGGATGCGTGCCACTCCGGTTCTTTCATAAGCCGGCACTGCCTCACAGCCCGACCAAAAATAGAACAGTGCAACCTGCATTTATAATAAAATTAGAATTTTTATATAAAAACACAAAAAAGTGATTCAACTCATTTACCTCTAAGATTGCTATGCACCCTTTGAGGTATCTCTGGCTGCCCTTTTTAAAGGTGATAATTGATTCAATCAATCTCGAATGGATATATTCAGCCCAATTGAATTCACCCTTCAAGCCTTCATCGCAAATGAGCTTCATATATTCCTTGTTCGTTGACGTATCACCCGTTGGACAAAGAAATATACCGACAAGGTACAATAGAACTCGGGCCTTCAGCTCATCCCCCAAGTAAGATCCACTTTTGATATCCTCTTCAACTTCAGTATATGTCACCTTATGATTCAAACCATATTTGGAGGCAAGTGCTTTCCAGTTCTTACTCCTACAGACTTCTATAACACTTTTGCCTTTGTTTTGTACCCCCAATACGGCTGCAGCAGTCGATACCCCCAGAGGGAATGAATAATCACCATACTTAGCCATACATTGACTGACGTCAAATTGTGCCATCAAGGATCGACACAATTCCCTCCGAATAGGTCGATCCCTTACTCCGATCAACGATCCAAAACCTATTTCTCCCAGCACATTCAACTGACCCTTCTCCTTAAGGTGTTTAATTAATAAATTCACCCTTTTAATGCTGCATCTTGTCGAAACTTCCTACATTTTTTAACAATATATAATGTTATAGTTCTTATATATTTTGTATCAACGTATTTACAAGTTTAATGAATACCTTATTTTCATGTGCTTTCCTCCGTTCTTTGTATTCTTTACTATCATTCCTTGACTGTGTGATGTAAGGTTCCTTTTCAGCATCACTCATTGAATTCCATTTGGACCTCACATCTTTTTCACCTAATATTAAACATAAACGTTTCTTAATCAATACATTAACACTAAATACTAATACTACTCAATGTCAATTTCATTTTACATACCGAACCGCTCTGTGTGCCATCTCCCTTCATCCTTTTGCATTCGGCCATACTGTTAACATTTAAAATTTGTAATCAATTTAAAGTTTATCGATACTTTAATCCAATTACCATTTCAACAATAATAACAAAAAGACATTGATACTTACTAGAAGTACATATATCCACCCTTTGGTTGCTTTCGAGTCTCGGCCTCAATTTCAAAGTCATCTGCTCCACCAACAATTTTCCAACCCATTGACTCCATTTTTCCTTCATATATCAGTTTACGCAAATCAAATTATTTTGTTACATACACTTTTCAATATACAAATATAGATAACTACTCTTGTGGTAAAACGGTTTTCTTCAAAAGAATTTGAATGGCCACACCAAAATGTGTCGGCACATTTATACAACCTATAATATCATTTTCTACCTATAATATTTAATAAAAGTATCGACATTTATATTTTTCCTTGAATATCTATTTCTACCTGCAATCGGTCCCAAATGCTTCCTTACTCCAAAACCCCAAACAACACATAAAAAACCCTATCGCGATTACTGTAATAATAAAAAATTAGGGTTTTGACAACATACTTTTCGATTCGACTGCAGCAACAAACAAACAAACTTCGCTTTAGAAACGCCTTCTGAAATGCAGCAACAATTACTCTTCGATTTCAAAAACTCGTCCGTTCTATCTATTTTCAGAGGATATTTAGCTTATATTTCATCGGATATGTTATTTATATTTAATCGATACAAATACAAAAGTGTCGATACTTTTATGTCAGGTGTCGATACTTTCGAAAGGATAATTACCTATTTCTTTGAAAGTGTCGATAATTTATTACACGTACTTACGAAAGTATCGACACTTTCAATATATCTGGTATCATTTTACCGTTTTTATCATTTTGATACCGGTTTTATCATATTTTTACCTGTTATATCGTTGTGGATCGATATTTTTTTTAAAGTATCGACACATTATAGGCGCTATAACTGCTTCTCTTTTAAATTCACAAAGTGTCGATCCTTATATAACGTATCGACACTTTTAAATTTACCGGTTTTATCATTTTGTTACCGGTTTTATCATATTTTTACCTGGTATATCGTTTTGGATCGATATATTTTTTAAAAGTATCGACACTTTTTAGGATTTAAAACTGCTTTTAAAGTTATGTAATTTATGTTTCAATTTATTTAATAGTGTTTCATGTTTTCCACCTACAATATTAATTTAATAATTTAATTTACACAAAATTTTATTTGATTGTTTTGATATTTTATAAAATATTATTTAGCATTTAAATTTAACAATATTAACCAAATATAATAATAAATATGTTTTCAACAGTGAAATAAGTATGGACACTTTTATAAAAATGATATATACTTTTTTGAAAGTTATGTAATTTATGTTTCAAATTTTTTAATAGTGTTTCATGTTTTCCACCTACAATATTAATTTAATAATTTCATTTACACAAAAAATTATTTGATTGTTTTGATATTTTATAAAATATTATTTAGATTTTAAATTTAACAATATTAACTAAAGATAATAATAAATATATTTTCACAGTGAAATAAGTATGGACACTTTTATAAAAAGGATAGATAATTTACAATATAACAAGTAAAAATATGACAAAACCAGATTCATTATGACAAAACCGGTAAAATTTACTTGATATGTTAAACGTATGGACACTTTTATAAAAAGGATAGATACTTACCGATAACCAAAGTTTACCGGTTACCAAATTTTTTAATAATTTTTCATATTTTCTACCTAAAACATTATTAGTTGTCAACATAATAGGTACCGCTAAACCGAATTTATTAAATACATTTTAATGTATCCGGTAATGCTGTATATTAACCGTATATTAACCCGCCTTTCCTGAGACATTCCCAATAATAAGAGAGTAGACAATATGATCATTCCCGGAGGAACCTCTGCAAGCATCTAAAGCCCAAGTATTGGGCGCAGTACCTCTCCATCTCCAGCCCACCTCTCTCTTTGCAGAGCTCCTCCTCCATCTCCTCCACCGCTTCATCCCAATCCTTCATCGACAATATCGCACGAGGCCCCCACCCTCCGTAATACTCGTCATCGCCCTCCATTTTCGCTTCCGATATTCCATCCACAATCTCCTGCAACCCCACGATTTTACGGCTCACTTTCCTCCTCGCTTCCCTCACCGTCGGATCGATCCCCGGCGCCGAGTCTAGTTTCAGTAGAAGACCCATCAGGGTCTCGTTTATCCTCAGCTTCTCCTTCTCGATGGAGTCCAATGTTTCCTGCCGTTGGATTAATTGTTGTAGACGGTTGGCCTCGTAGTTCACCGATGAGACCTGCTTGTAAAGGTTGCGGATGACTCCACCTCGGTAAACCGACTGAATCTTGAGGGCGGCATGGGGTTGGGGGAGGTGGACGGTGAGTGTGACTGGGGTGTTGTCGTCGGCGGGGATCTGTTTGGATTCTTGAGGTGGCAGAGGAGAATCAGAGTGAAGAGTATAGACGAGGGTGGAGGTTGAAGATGAGGAGTAGCTGAATCGGTGAGAGGATTTCATGGTTTGATAGATTAAGTGTCGGCAGCGAGTTTATAAATGAGTGGCGTCTGAGTCACGGTAACGTTTTCTGGCTTTAGTTTGAATGATGTCAGAACTTAATCTGGCAAATAGCACCGCCTGTTGAGGACCCCTTTGCTCTGATTTATTGGCGAATGGATCCTGCTTTGTTCTTATTTGAATTTGAATACTCAAGGCAGTGGCCAGTGGGTGGATTCAACGTACATTCATGGGCTCAGAGACAAGTAAATTTAACTACGAAGTGGCCATTTTCAGTGGGAAAGTCCTCTGCTTTTTATTCCCAAAACACAACACCTACCTGCCTAGGAGCATCACATCAAGGGATGGCAACGTTCGAGTTAGGATTGAGTTTTTCTTATTTACATCCGAAAATTATATATCATCTATTTAAATTTGATCCGACTCAAAAATTATATATTTTTCGTCCGAATCCGATCTGATTCGTAAAAATATATATCCTTCATCCGACTTTGATCCGATTCAAAATTTTAGAGTATAAATTCAATTCGGTCCGACTCGGTCTAATAAAGTATAAAGATTTAATTAAAAATAAAAAATTAAAGAAATTACATCATTATCATCGACTCGAGTTGGATCAAAGCTTTTTACCCTACATCTGAACTTGATCCAAATTCGAAACCGAATTTTTCAAAAAAAATATGACCTTATCAAATCGGTTTGGGTACATCAGATTCAGATTAAATTGACATCCGTGATCACATGCAAAAGACTCCAGCACATATACCAACCTTTCTATGTTATGGTTATCATATAGAATATGCCCATTTGTTTACGAGTTTCTTCATGTCATAAGGATCTTTCATGTCCGAATATGTATTGAACCAGAGCAAAAATGCACCCATCATTGGCACTACTTACAATTTTTCTATTAATCCCTTTTTCATTTTGCCTAAACACGTTATTACTATAATGAAAAACAACTAATAATATTATCAATAACACTATAAATATAGATACCAAGTCGTGTCAAATTAAACTTAAGTGATTAAATATCAAACTGTAACACAATAGAAGGGAATAAAAGCATAGTCAAAGCAAGTTAAAATAGTTCATTAGCAACGCAAGGAAAACAAAACAGGCGTCAAAATAGCAACGGTTTTGTGAATAATTCTATTACTGACTTAATTCACCAGGAACTAGATAGATTTCTTAATATGATATGGCGTTAGAAGGGTTGTTGATATTATAATCAATCCGCACTGTCTCCGTAGGGTGAAGAGTAAAATATCCTAACGTCAGCTTCCTCCGGTAACCTAAAGCTCACCTTCTTTGTCGACTTCCCACTTAGGCTTCTACTGGCAGAGAGATCAAAGGATCGACTGTCGCCATCGACCGCAACTTCCCTCGACGGAGATGGATGGATCTTACTCGACAAGTGTTTGAAAACATGAAGTTCACCTCCATGAAGATAATCCTTCGACTCTAAATGATTACCCGGAGAAGCAAATAACCAATCCTCTAGAGTCAACTTGCTCAATTTTGCAATCCTACCCTGGGGCAGCTGTGACACTCTTATAATCCTCTCCTTCGTCTGCCTCTTCCTCAAGCATTGGGGCTTGAAGGCTTCGATGATGGATGGCTTTCGAATCGAAAATTTCGAACCCAGAACCAATGCCTTGGATTCTAGCTTTGGTCTCGACTGCTTGCTTCCTTTTGCCCCCATTGAAGCACTCCCTGATCTATAAAGTATCACCGACCACTGATAGCGTCAAATGATTAGCCACGTCGGGAGAGCTGGGATTGATTTTTTTAGGGTTTATAAAGGACCAAAGGGCGGCTGTCTAGACGGAGAAGTCTAGGTTTTGGTGTCAACAAGAACAAAGATTGTTTAGGACATGCGTTGGAAGATCTCCAACTTAGAAATTGTATTGGACATGCTTTAAAAATAAATAGTACGATTCTCTTTAGCAACGTTTCTTTGGACAGTTTCCTCGTGTTCGACGATGGATTGCACGAAAGAGTTACAAGTTTGAATTAAACATAGTTCGCAATTGGTAGAAGAAGACGGTGATGAAACCAATGTGATGTGACCCATATGTGAGTGTTGAACACGAATATGGTACATGTTATTATACTTTTACAAAGTAGATTTCAATGCGATCCTGACCAACAACTTCAAAAAGTAACCATCCTTAGAGTCCATCCAGATGAACGACAACTTCAGACTAACATTTTCATTGTGTTTTCGGTTTCTGAATCTTCACATATGGGATAATGTCCAAAAGATAGACGATTTTCGGAGCCCATCCCCGTTGGCCGTTGCTGAGCACGACAGAACATCAAAAATGTGTTTGCGAAATAACAATTCATACCCATTAATAGATGCCATAAGGCAAGACCCTGAGGGTTGATTGGCCAACTCGATATCTGTTTGCAGAATACACGGTCGCAGAACCAGCATGAACTACCTAGGGAGTGAGTAGCCACGTTCAATTTTGCGAGCCGCTTAGCAGAAGCATCATGAGTGTGAATGTAGTACTTATACATTCGTGGGATACAAAGAAGGCAGAGAATAATGTAATGCACCTTGAAGCCGATGCCAAAATGAAGGACCGAGTGAACAACAGCGAAAACCGCACCATAGAGAAAAAGGAACGTGGGCATCGTGCTGCGGTAATGCCAATCTGGTGAGTACGGGATGTACATATACAGAAGCATCTCCCATACCATAGGAGTTTCATCACCCTGTTGTTGCCTGCAAACAATTCCAAATATGCTAATCCATATGCAAAACAATGAAACAATGCTTTCCATCGACACATATCTTCCGGAACTACATGATGCATAGGCAAGGTTGGTACTTACGTTGCAGGGTGGCATGGTATAAAATGCTTCCAACGGCAAGTATCATATTCAATACGTGAAGAACACTGAATCTTTTCTCAAATCTCTGTTTCACAGCATTTACAAGGCCAATGAATGCTAAAAGAATGGTCAAGATATTCGATACGGTATTGTAGAATTCAGCGATATACGAAGAGTAGGAGTAATTCTTCTCTTAACACTCGCTTGTAGATGTGACAGGACCCCAGAAGCTTGATGTCCTGCAAAAGGGAAGTTCCAATGTCAAGCATTCAAACATAAGTGCAGGTCGATAACCACCAAACTCCATGACGAACCACCGCGGAGAGAAACGATAAGCTTAGTTCTTGTTTAAGCAAGAGAAGGAACAACATGAAGATCAATTAACAATTTCACCACTAACAAGAAGCCTAATTCTCAAAGTTTACCAATACTCGAATAGAAGCATTGTTAAGCTAACTATAAAGCATTAGTTAGAAGCATTAGCATCCCAACACTCAGATTCCAGTATGAATCTGCATATATATCAAGATCTCAGATAAGTAATCCCATTGTCGCATCAAACATGAAGAACCCACCCGAGTCTGAAATCCTTATCAAAAACATTCCTAAGCATTACCATACTCCAAATGTATATAAAAAGGAAACTAAATATAAGCATATCCACACTCAGTATCTATTGAATGTAAGTAAAAGGGCAATACAAAAACAGGGTATAGAAATCTATTGAACAATGAATGAAGATAAAGGAAAAGCAAACCTTGTTGGCGGAGATAGGTCTCATTATGCTCAGCTGGAATTTAATTTATGGTGCTCTCATCTCTGTCAATCTCCTTGTATATATAAATATAAATATAAAAAGTTTACGTTAACAGGGATAACTGGGAATCTGGTTTTTAGAGTTTTAGGCATTCGAGGCAAAGGATAGAGAGAGAGTGTGTTTGCTAATAATTAAAAGAAAAAGAATTGTTTTTCTCCTGATTCTGGGAAGAATTGTACGCAACGAAAGTGACAATAAATATGAAAATTGGCCTAAAACGGCCACTTACATGGATTCCTGAAGACTTTATTGGCTCAAGTATGGGCCGAATTTCTTATCCAAACTCTATTATGCGTAAATTTTACTCTCCTCCTATTTTACTCATCATATTTTAAATTTTTTAATTTGTTTATTGAATTTTACATATTGAATTATTTTGCTCACTCCATTTTTATATCTCTATGTGTCATTTGTTATTATTATTTAATATAAAATAATTGAAAATATAAAGGGAAATTACATTGTTCCTCACTGAACTGTACTCTCTCTTTTATTTTGCTCACCCAACTATAATATAAAAAAAGAAGATGGTCGGACGCCACTGCTGGCAGCCATCGACTACCGTAGATGGTGGTAGTTCAATCCCAATTTTATGGGTCGTTTAACCTCGACACCTTGAGTTTGAATCTGACCTCCATTTTGTCGGAACTTACTCGAAGTCCACGAATTGAAGATTGAAAATGAGAAAACCGAAACATTCAATATGGATTCAAGGATTTTGAGATATTTTTCTGTGAAACAAATACCAGATTCGGACTCAGGGGGTCGAGATGAACCAACCCATGAATTTTGGGGCTGAACAACCACCATCAACGACGGTAGACGGTGGTCGAAATGATAAATGATGTGGTCGACAGATGCAACCGGTCACCTTATTTGCAAAGTAAAGAGAAAATGGGTGGAAAGAAGAGGATTCAAAACGACGTTGTTTTGTTGTATATTTGAGTTTTTCAAAACGATGTTGAATTGATGTTTGTGCCATGCTATAACACCGTTAAAAAAGTTAATGGCATAGTGAGCAAATTGATTCAATTTGTAAAGTTCAGTGAACAAATTTTAAAATTTAAAAGTACGGTGAGTAAAATAAGAGAGAGAATAAAATTCAGTGATGAACGATGTAATTTACCCAATTTATATATAATGGACTCGGATTTCAAATTGTAAGAATTTCATAATGATAATTGTCTTTGGAGGTTTCGAGTTCAAGTACAATGTCTATAGAAAATATATAAGTTTTTTTTATCAAATAATTAAATTTTTATCAAACAAATAATATCTTATAATCTCCAAATTAATAAAAATTTGAAATTTCATTGGAAATGTATTGGTGTAAAATTTATTTCCTATAAGAGTTTGTTTGACATAATTATTATCTAATAATTACGTGCACGTGAAGTTATTTAAAATTTAATTGTATAGATTTGTTTATTTGACAAATAAAATAGAATTATATCATAATTTATTAAAAACAAGTTTTAATTGTTTATTATAAATTTAAATTCGAGAATTATATTTTTTATACTAATTTTCATGACATTACTTAACATGCTGAAATATAATTATGCTATTTTTTTATACTAATTATATTTCTATGAATTAAAAACATGTATTAACATTCTTTATATGCCATCTAAAAGTGTATTTGTATACAACCCATTAAGTAGTGTCATTAGTAAATAAATACTTAATTGCGTCACATGTCCTTCAATTATGACAATCATTTTAAATTAGTCCGTAAACTTTTAAACATTCCAATTTCATTCTTATTCTATGACTATCATTCTAAATTAGTCCTCAAACTTTTGAATATTTCATTTTTATCCCTAAACTATGATCTTCATTCCAAATTGGTCCCATAAATTTTTGAACATTTCAAATTCAACCCACATTATAAGTATATACTATTCACATCTCTTGTTAATAAAATCATTATGCCAAGTTATATTATTAGATGTTTGAAACAAATAAAATATAGGGTAAACTATGGTTGAAATTGATTACATATTTGGATGAATTAGGGAATGAAATTGAAAGATTCAATAGTTTGGGGATCAATTTAGAATAAGAATCATAGTTTGGGGATGAAGTTGGAATATTCAAAAGTTTAAGGATTAATTTATAATGAGAGTCATAGTTTAGAAATGAAATTGGAATGTTTAAAGTTTAAGGACTAATTAAAATGAGGATAATGGTTTTGGGGACATATGATACAATAAACTCGTATAAAATGTTATTCTCTTTAGAGAATTTAGGCTTGAGCATTTGCGTCTATAGGAGATGTGTAAGTTATCATAAACCAAGAAACTTTAAAATATATATTATCTTATGATCACTTTATACTATTTAAAAAAATTATTTTGTACAAACTAAGCGACCTCGGTGATGGATGAATTATTGTTATTCTTTGAGATCTTCAGTTCGAGCACCGAGAATGTCATGGGTATGAGCGTTCAATGTCAAATAGTTAAGAGTTATCTTTAAACATATATTCCATTTCTAAAAAATCTTATATATTTAATTTACTTTTCCTGGTTGCTAATTTTTATGCTCCTAATCATCTACTCGTTATTTTGTTCGATCATTTGTTTGAGACGAGAATTCATAGTTAGAACAATCTAATAAACTCTTATAGACATCCATATTAAGCAAACGAACGTAGGTACAAATGGTTGAGATTCAATAATTTAAGTTTGTAAAATCAAGTTTGATTACTATCATTATCGTTGGTTGATAATCTGTAAATTCCTATGTAAATGCTAGTTGGGTCTTATGTATGCCCTGACTCTAGACTGAAAAAGCCGTCATGAATTAAATTTTATTGTACCAAAAAAACACCCATATCAAAAGAAAATCGAAACATATAAATCACAATAATAAAGAGAGATACGATTTTGATTAAAATGTAAAAACACTATATTAGATTATGAGTTCACAAATTTATATTTTCTTCTTTCCTTTAACCTTTATCAAATTGTCTAACGGATAATCACCACGTGAGATCAGATTCATTGTACCAAGACATAAACATTGGTTCATTGAACTTGGACATTCATTCCAAAACAGATTAAACGACCCTTCGGTTTTTTAGCAAATCTCCGAACTTTAAAAAAAACTCGAACTTACAGTGGCGGCGTCTGTTTTCCACGTAGCAATGACATCAGTAACTCGGTAAATTAAGGCGTGGCGTTTAAAATGAATCTAGACTCGTGTTCGGGTTAGGTTCATTGAAAACACTGAAGAGCCAAGTCAAATCACGGAGCCGAGATAATGTTTCTAATAATTCTTTATAAATACAGAGGAAAAGGCATTTAATTTCCATTAATTCGTCCACTTTCGTTTAATATTGGCCGAATATTCTGGGAAATACACTGCTCCTTTCAGGCTCGTTTGTGACACTATACTGAGCACATAACGACACCATTTGCCAAAAACTGAAACTTTATCATTTTCTCCAATATAAATCCACTGTCCGTCTCCCTCAATCGTCCTCCCTGGAAAAGAGGGAATAAAGGTATTTGTTCTGTTGATGATGGCGAGGATTCCAATGAGATTCAACTATAAGATAGCAGCGGCTTTCGACGAGGCGGCGCGTGCGGTGTCGGTGGTACGGCACTGCGAGAGCAGCGGCAGCGACCACTCCCCGGAGGATTTGAGTGATCTCTCGGATCTTGTGAATTCTTTTCTCGAGAGTGATTGCGCCTTTGAATCCGATGAGCATGAGGGTAATAAAAAGACTGTGCAAGAGAAGGACAACGAAAACGATGGATCATCGGATTCGGAAGGTTATTGGTCGGAGACAAAAGACACGTTAAAGAGATTGGTCGTCAAGAACGAAGATGATGATAAGGAGAAGCTTAAGATCCTGGAACAGGTAGCAGAATTTGATCGTCGGAATGTTTCGGACATGTCTTCCGAGGGTTTTAAACGTCGGCTCATGTATGGTTTGCGAGACAATGGCTTTGACGCGGGTAAGCTTCTTTGATTCTCCTTCATTTTAGATGGGTCAATTTGTGTCTCTAGCCCCTCTATTTACACTCAAATTAAGAGTTTAACCCCTATATTTCAACTAATCATAATTTGAGCCGGGGTGAAACCATAAGTTTCTCTAGGGAGCTTGAATTATAGTGAGTTTTAGTGGTCAAAATGTAATCTTATTAACTTGATAAACAGGACTGTGCAAATCACGGTGGGAGAAATTTGGGAGGCATCCAGCAGGGAGATATGAATACGTGGACGTGAATGCTAATGGAACTCGTTATATCATCGAAATAAATCTCGCCGGAGAATTCAAAATAGCTCGACCAACGATGAGTTATGCTTCATTAATCGAAGTTTTCCCGACCATTTTCGTCGAAAAGCCAGAAAAACTGAAGCAGATAGTGAGGCTGATGTGCAAAGCAATGAGGAAATCGATGAAAGATAGGGACATGAAGATGCCACCATGGAGACAACACGGGTACATGCAGGCCAAATGGTTCGCCGCTCACAAGCGTACGACCGATGAAATCTCGTCTAGTAAAAAGAGTCCGAAGAAGAACGGTGCCATGGCAGATGCGGCTAAAAGATCAGTCGGGTTTAAGGAATTACCGACAATTTCTTACCGCTGCAGAGATAATACCGTTGCTGATAAGGCTGGTTTGAAGGTTGGGTATTTAAGTGCCGCCTTCAATGCAAATGCTGGTATTGGTTTGCAATCGTAGTCAATAATGGCGTCAATTGTACATAAATTTGCTGTTTGGTCCAATTCCATCGCCCATATCTGCCAGTAATGATCCACTCAGGGCCTGTTGTTTGTAAAGATGAAGTTACAAGGGATGTCGTATGCCCAAGTGGTTCATTTTGGATTTAGAATTGTTGGGATATTCATTATATATTGTTTTGTTAGCAGTTGAGTTAACTGAGCAAGCAACTTTTGTCTATATATTATGAGTTTCATTGTCAAATAAAAAGATATCATAAAGTTCAATGTGTAAGAACCATGTGATACTTTTTCCAACTAAATATAGCCCTACTGCCATGTTTGAACTTGCAATTATGCTAGATAGAGTTTGACTAAGATTTCGACATCCTCTACCACTACGGACTCAAATGTCGACATTGGTTTATATACATATGAATTTAAGACTCTTAACAATAAGGAGGGATCGGGTGTCGCGGTTGAGGGCAATCGTCTCCTAAAAAATTTAAATTATTATATGTTTATAGTTTTTTTTAATTTTTATTGATAATTTCAATCCATTAGAATTTTAAAAATTTACATCCTCTTAAACTTTTTTAGAAATCCACTCTCCTATAGGCTTGTAAACGAATCGAACGTTCAGCGAACCGTTCGGCGGGAAGTTTGTTTGTTCATTTACGTTCATGAACGTTCGATAATATGTTAATTCATTTATGTTTGTTCGTTAATGTTCGTTAATGTTCGTTTACTTTCGTTGGTTTATATTTGTTTATTTATGTTTAACATAATATCTCTAGAATCATTTAAAATATTAAGCCCAATAAATTTTAATATGATACCCAATAATATTTTAAAATTCAATTAATTATAAATACAAATAAAAAATCCCATAACAATTAAATACAAATTAACTATGAAGTTGCAACTTATATTAATGAATTTTATGTGATTATTGTTGTTGTAGTTTATGTTCATTTATGTTCATTTGTTTTGTTCATTTATGTTAGTTTATGTTCATTTATTGTGTTCGTTTACATTCGTTCGTTTATGTTCGTTTATTGTATTCATTTATGTTCATTTACTTCCGTTCTTTTATGTTTGTTCATTTGTGTTCGTTTATCATTTAAATGAACGAACATGGACGAACACGAACAAGCTACATTCCTTAACGAACGAACACGAACAAGAATATTTTTTGTTCGTTTATGTTCGTGTTTGTTCATTTGTTCGATTAAAGTTAAACGAACGAACATGAACATACCCCGTTCGTGTTCGTTCGGTTCATTTACAGGCCTACCCTCATAACATAATTTCTTATGCTGGTTCTTACTTAGCAACAATATTATGAGAGCACTACAGCAAACCTGTAGCAAAACATAATTTCTTATGCTTCTCTCTGTGCTGTCGCTGCTTCCCTTGCTTCATTTTCCGCTTTCATGTTAGCCATTTGTTTATCCATCTCAGCCAACTGTTGTTTTAAACGACCAACTTCTAATTGGGAAGATTGAGACTGTGATGACATGTATTGTGATGAACTTGATCCGAAATATTTGGTGGGAGTAACAAATGATCCTTGACAACGCACCCGACCATATATTTCTGGACCCAAAATGTCATTAATAGCTCGGTTTTCAATGTCATCATCATTAACCATACCGTGACTCGAACCAGTGATATGATACTCCGCCCTTTTCTCCTTCAAATTTTCCTCATAATAAGGTGAATAATTAATTAAAATAAAAAATGTCATGCTACAAATATAAATAAAGTTAGGTAAATTTAAAATATGTACCCAATAAACATACAATAATTTCTGCAGCTTCAACAGTCATAGGAGTTCCATCCTTCTTCGTATGTGTCATATCGAATAGTTGGATTCGGCCAACTTTAGAACCAGATGTATTTTACTACAAAATATAATAATATAATTACTATGAGTTAGTATGTACATGGAATACAAAAAACAATATCAATAATCTATAATACCTCCTCATTAGCTATACAAGCAAAACTCTTTGATCCAGCCGTGTGCGTAAACTTTTGATGTTGCCTACTAGCAACACCAACATGCTCTCGGTCCTACAATGTCAAACAACCAAATTTAATGATGATTTATAATTCGTTACAATTATTTCTAAAAAATACATCATACTTGTCCTTTTTGTAATCTGACTGCATCTTCCCATTGGTACCTGAGCATTCCAGGTGGGACTGTTTGCAGCTTCTCTTCAAGGCTGAGATCATTCTTGAAGTATTTATTCTTTAAGGAGCTCTTGTGGTCCCTCCATCTCTTCCGTAACTCTTGCTTCACATAATCGTCAGAGACCTCTAAAGAAAATTTCTCCTATACAGTAAATAAGTGTGCACCGTAAGTATACGTTAGTATTGAATTTTTATATAGTATATACTAATAATGACATTATTACCTTAACAAAATCCAACGCCTGATGTTTGTTACTATTAGGCATTTCACGCCATGACTCATAATTGATCGATAACAGATTCGCATTACGTCCAAATATGCCTAAGTAACCTACTAGAAGACGTGATTCTGGGCCAATAGGTTAACCCACATCGTTTCTTGAAACTTTGACATGAAGCCCAGGAGGAAGTTGATATAATTCCTTCAAAGTTGTAAGTCATCGAGTCTTGCACGTTCCAGCATTTTCAACTATATAAGAAATTATTAAATGTCAGTTTTGAAAATGAACAAAGTAGTAAATAAAGTTTCGAATATTACCTTGGATTTCTACTTCTTCTTCAACAGTTTCAGGAACTTCGGAAGACTCAGGTGCATTCGATTCCTCGTTATTTCTTTCTTCATGGTCTTTAGAAGCTCGAACAACCCGGAAATCAATTATTTTTCTCCTCGACATGATATCTATAATAAACCAACATGTGTAATAAAAAAACGAATTAATTAATTAATATATTGAAAGACAACATGTTAAAGGTTATAACATTATAAATAAATAAAGATATAAACTCGTACGCCATTCTTATGTAATGTCAGTTGTCATAAATATCTTCATCAACGTCCTCTCGAACCCATTGAAATTGTGTTATATTTATGATAGTTTCATCTAAGTTTTGTGGTATTAGAGGTAAACATTCTGATCTTGTTTCAATTTCATCTCTACTTCTATCTCCGATGTCTATCACGTCTCTGGGAGTATTTCGGAACACAACATACCAACCGTCATCCATTGGATTGTGAGAATAAAATACTTATTTCACTTGAGAAGAAAATACATATGGTTCATCCATCAAATTTTGACCCGTATGAATTAATCGAGAGAAATTCACCATTGTAAACCCGAATTTATCTCTTTTTATGCATCTGTTTATATCAACCCAGTCACACCGAAACAACACAACCTTTCGTTTTACATAATAATCTAACTCAATAATGTCCGTAAGATTTCCATAATAATCTACCTCTCCCTCCTGCGGATTATTGTCTCTGACAGTAGCATAACTAGTAGTTGATGAAGTAACTACGACTCCACAATTTTGTGTCCTCCTTAATCTTTCACGAGATTTCGTGTGGAACCTGAACCCATTAATGAGGAAGGCATTATATCTTTTAACTATTCTATTTGGACCTTGAGAAATCCATTTAACATCTTCACTAACTTCTCTCCCACTCCAAACCTATTACACATGAATGGTAAATTAACTGCCATTGATGTCGATATAAAAAGCAAGACATATATTATGTATAAGTATTCCGTAAGATTTAGTTGCTTACCATCTGGCCTAACCATTCATGAAAAGTTTCTGTGAATAACTTATGTAGCTCTCGCTGATTTAATCTTCGGGACCGTGCACGAGATCTCAAGACTTCTTTAAACTCACTATAAAGTATATTATGTCGTTAAAAATTGATATATATAAAAGATTAAGAGATTTCATATAGCTTGGGTCCGAAAGACTTACATGCGAAATTGATCTATTGAATCGTGATGGAAAAGAACATATCGGTGTGCTTGTACCCATGACGTGTCATCTAAGTGTGCAATTTCAACTTTCCCTAATGGTTGACCATAACTTCCAAACAAATAATGTTGAGGTAAGTCATCAGTACTTAACACATCATTTCGATTTGGTCTATTCCATCTTGTTTCAACATCTTCCAAATATCTAGAGCAAAATGTCATACATTCCTCTGCCAAATACCCTTCAGCAATTGATCCTTCCGGATAACGCTTATTACGACAATAAGACTTCAACTTGCCCAAGAACCTATACACAAAACAACATACTACGTAAATACATTTTATTAAAAGGTATAATAAGTAGTAATTTGAAACGTGTAATTCAATTAACACCTCTCTATAGGGTACATCCATCGATAGAAAACTGGTCCACCAACTCTTGCTTCGTGAGGAAGATGAATTAGTATATGCACCATAATTGTGAAGAATGAAGACGAAAATATCTTCTCCAAGTTGCATAAAGTCAAGGCGACTCGATCTTGTAATTTATCAAGTTCTTCAACCATTAGAACTTTCCCACAAATGTTTTTCATTATATTAGAAAGTTCAATGATAGAAGACGTCACCTTACTCGACATGCAACCGCGAACAGCTACTGGCAGTAAATCTTGCATTAATATGTGATAATAATGTGACTTTAAACCATAAAGTCTTCAATTTTTAACACTGATACATCGAGAAATGTTTCATGCATACCCATCTGGGACCTTTATATCCTTCAACACCGTGCAAAACACTTCTTTTTCTTTCTTCAAAAGAGAAAAAATAGAAGCCGATAAAAAATATCTTCCATTCGGATGTAATTACGGATGAAGATCATGTCGAATTCCCATCTCCACTAAGTCAAGTCGACTCTTAAGATTATCTTTAGATTTTCTGGCATCATTCAGAATGGTCCCAATAATATTCTCACAAACATTTTTCTCAATATGCATTACATCAAGATTATGTCTCAAAATCTGCTTTTTCCAATAAGGCAACTCGAAGAATATACTCATCTTTTTCCATAAGTCTAGCTCATTTGGATCATCCTCTTCATCAGACTCATCATCAGTTTGTTCGTCAACTTTAACCTCTTCATTGACCTGTTTTACCTTTTTCTTTGATCGTTTACTACTTTGT